GCCAAACAAATGTCACAGTATTTTATTTATATATATTTATTGTAATTACGTCATGATAATTTTAATCACTAGTTTCTATGCTATGATTTATGGTATGTTTTTGTTTAATTTCATAATTGAACATACATTTGAACTTATAAATATGACGCATCGTACCACGGAAGTGAAATAGTATATTGTATAATCATTTTTATAAATTCATATTCCAACTTTAGTATGTCATTAAGCTTTGCTTGCTTTGTGTTTTAATACTTCAAGTAATAAAATAATAACTAATAACAGTAAATATATTGCACAGATTATATGGAAACTTATATACATATATAATACCTTTTAGCGTTCTAAGTAGTATATAATCCTGACCCTAGGTAACTTTTTAATACTCCAATTCATAAATAATAAAGTAAATATTATATGTTCAATTGTATTTTACTGATCTCAAAAATATAATCATGACTGCAATTCAAATTCATTTATTATTTGTTAATATTAAAAAAATTTTTGTATTGAATTTTTAATAAATTTGTAATAAAATTGTATGATACTTTTAGTTAAAAATTATTCAAAATAAATAAAATTTGCATAAACCATATTTTAGGAACCAGTTATACTTATAAAAATATCATTTTCTATATTTTTATACTTAATAATGAATACATATTTTAATCTTTGTGTATTTATGAATTATTTTAAGTCAAATATCGTAGTACTTTTGATGTTTTATTTTCAATTTATTTTTTTAAAACAATTATATTTTTTTATTGAAATGCTTTTTGACGAATTGAAAGATTCTAACAGTTAAACTAATATGAATATTATTGAAGTATGATACTATATATTTTAAATGACATATCAAAATGTTAAATTGCTAACGAAAATTCTGATTTACATATAATTATATTTATTATATATTATTCTAAATCATCTTTGAAAATTTATTCTAATTCCAAAGAACTTTTTTTTTAATATTACCAATTTTTTTCAATATTCAACCGCTTTTTATAAATAAGACAGGTACCTAATTATAACAAGGACAATACGGCCGCATTTACATTTCTTTTTTTTTAATTATTAAGCTAATTTAAACAAACGTTATTTCTCTTCCTATTTCAGGTATAAAATTAAATGTTTTATAAGAAAAAGTTAGTTAAAAAATTATATTACAAGCTTTTATCAGTTATATTTAACTCATTTAAAGTGGGTAAGTTTATAATCAATAAATACTTTATTCAAAATAACGCAACCTTATAGTTTTATACAACACAAATATTTAAAATTACAAATTTATATTTGTAAATAACCATGGACACTTATTATATTAGAAATATTTATTATAATAAATCTTTATGTAAATAACGTTAAAAAATACGAACTTTACATTGAAATTATTATAATTAGTCTACTTTATTGATTTATTTTTTATAGCATTTGAATAAGCTATCACTATATTTATCTAAAATAAAATAAATATAAAAAATTATAAAAAATTATTGATTTAAAGTTTAATTCTAAAATATTAAACTAAATACGTTAACGTTGCTATGATTATAAGTTATTTGAATCCAGAGTATTTCTTCATTGTAAAGAACTCTATTTTTAATTTATTATTAATAATGGCCAACACTGAATTAACTACTAGAAATATATTTTTAAAATAATAGAAATATTCACAATCCATATTTCCGTATTACATCTCTTTAGAAAAAAAATACCTTAAGCATAGAAAGCAATAAGCTTAAGTCTTTTTTTTATTGTAAAATTTGAAATTAATTTTCATAAATAGTTTATTCGAATTATAATAAAAATATTGCGCATTTTATAATAATATTGTATGTATATAACGGTGGTATTATTTAGATAAAAATTTGTTTATATTCATATTATACAGTTTACTAAACATTAACAAATTAAAATTTTTATTATATTCAGATCCATTTGGATATAAATAATCATAAGAACTTTTCTTGAACGTGGTGAATATATAAATAAAATAAGAATATTATGTATACATTTACAATTATCCTAATATATCGCCAAAACATGGGCTTCTTTTAAGATTTATGTTTTCAAAATGAATAATTTTAGATTCTTGACTATTTTATTTGAATATATAAGATTTCTTTGAGATTTTTAAGTCGTACAGGCCAAATCATAGTATATTTTGTAAAGTGTATGCATATATCGACGTAACTATTATAATAATTGTAATAATGATCGGAATCATAATAGTAATTAGTATTCATGATAATAATGAACATGATAATAATCACAATGATGATGATGACGACGACGATGACGGTGACAACGGCAACGATAATACATATTTATGACCTTCAATAATTGGATTTGACTGTATTTCCATTTATATATTTAATATTACTTATCTCACGATATATTTCCTTTACACATTTTATTTCTGAATTATATTTGAGTTCGTGAAATACTTATTCATTAGATTGCTTTTATCTTCTTCGCATTATCGCTGTCACATGTTTGCGTACATACATGTATATACACATATATACATACATACATATATACATGCATACGTACGTACCCATTTGTGCGTGTATATATATATATATATATATATATATATATAGCACATCTTACATATATACATGCATACATATACATATTTATTTGGAGATTATATTTTCTTCCAAAACACAGATCCGCAACACTTATATATACAGGTATGTATGTATGTGTATACATATAATATTCATCTGAAATTAAGCGGTTTATGACTGAAATATTGAGGTAAAGACAGAAAGATTTATAAAACGTTGCGTTATAAAACTTTTTGATAGTTTATATATTTTTTTATATGCCATACTTTTTTTCATTGCTGTATAATTAACTTGATAAACTAACTTAGATATTGTAAAGATTTCTTCATTTACTTTAATAAAATTGCAACGTCTATTGTTTTTCTCTATCTTCAGATTTTATCATATTTGCATGCGTTTGTAAAAAATTGAAAATATATATAAGTAAAAAACTAAGATGAAAAAAAGATAGTTGTGATTAATTTTTCTTTCTTTTATAAAAATTCGTTCGAGTACTTGGTTTTGAAAATTAGAACATCATTATTTTATTGTACGCGCTTATAAATATTTGATTAATGATTTTTTTATTCTTAAAATGGTGACATGAGGAATTTCTCTTAATTATTATTCATTAAAAATTATTTATTTATAAGAGAAATGTTGTATACAGACACTTAAGTATTTTTATTTTTGTAGTTTGCACTTAAAAATTAATGCCATAAAAATAGTCGATGGGTCATCGTAAGCTTTCTTTGAAAATGAAAAATATTTCAGACTATTATGTAGTATTTTATCTACATAGGGCACTATATCTATTAAAATAACATTATACTGAAGTCTTAGATTTCGATTATTATAGATTGATTAGACTGATTATTGTGGACCCATTTTACTACATTGGTTTAAATAGATAATTAAAACAATGTTTGTTTCATTTTGATTAGAATTTATAGACATCAATTGAATTTAGTTCTAAAGAGTTGGTACGTTTATTGAAAACTTTAAAATGTATCAAACATTGTAGATTTTATACTTGCGATTTTATACTTCGTATCGAACATAATATGAATAGTACAGAATCAACGACGAAAAAAATGTAGATCTAGTATTTACATAATTATATTTTTTATAGAAAAAGTTTGAAAATTAAATTAAGTATCGAATAATATACTAAATTTATTGTTTTTGAAATCACATTCATCTATGTGCTTTAAAGATAATTATAAATTAAAAATATAATCACGCGGTTATCTTGTATATTATCTAATAAAATATATATTAAGACTATGTGTAATCACAAAATTTTACGTTATGCTTCTAACGGGCAGAGAAAATAATTCAAAATCAATTTATGGTACAAACATAATAACATTAGTTTTGTTTATTAATAAAATTATGTTTTTCTTTTAAAATATTCTTAATAGAATTCATTTTAATGCAATAGGAGGAAAAAACGAATGCATATAACGATATATGCTTAAATAACGGTTGATTCATTAATTTAATAAAATTAAACATTACGATTAATTTGTCTAACTAATAAGTACTTTAAAGTATAAATTGTATTGATAAATAACAATTTCTACATATTTCGATGGTTACCTGAAAATACATAAATTTTCCATAAAAATCAATCATCGACAGATTCACGATGAAAAGACCAGGTATAATTAAATCTAAATAAATAATTTAATTCGTTTAATTTACGAATCATAGCTTTTCTCACTATTTTTTTATCCGGATCATCCATGATTTTCAAAACGCAGTACTCGAAATAAAGTACGAATTAGCTATACGTAGCTACTTATGTTTGCATCAAAATTTCATTCGCTTTTTAAAAAGGGTAAAGTACAAGCGTCATCCAAATACTAGCAGCTAAATTACATTCACACGAACCATACCTTTCACTATATATATATATATATATATATATATATATATATATATATATATATGACAAAAATTTGAAATTGCATTGAATCGGCGTATCAATGAAGAACCTCTCAGCAGCATTTGTAATATTAGTATTTTATTTGACCTTGTCCCCTCTAGAGTAGGGAGGCAATTTTTACCTAATATCAACTTTTCAAGACGACGCACGAATCATAGAATTTGGCATTACAACTTGATCAATTACTGTCGGTTTGGCTTCTTTTTTTATTCTTTCTCCACTCTCAACTCCTACTCATGCTTGTAATACTAATTTCCAACTGAAGGTCGTAGCGCCAAAGTGCGCTGCAGACGATTTTGATGTAAAACACCAAGACTGACCGCACATGCAGTCGCGAGTAACTGATGAGAGGAGGGGAAAGGACATTTGTGTTTAGGGCACAGCTACACAACAGTGTATCATAGATTGATTGACATTCGACGTTGCGCTGGGATAATACATATATAGGGAAAATATGTGAGAGAACGCTTAAGCTCCTTCTCACGGTCTATTCGTTTGTGCTCGTCACATTAACTAATGCACTCGTTGACCTAGCACCTCCTCGAAATCACTGTTGACGCGTCTCGGTGTATGCTCATCCCTCGCTGATAATATAAAAAACATCACATCGCGTGACCGCTGCTACGGGAACACCCAGGGTGTGGAAATCATGAGAATTCCTCGATGGCTGCTAATTGCCGTTTGTCGAGCGCTGTATCGCCGGTATCACACTGTCCACGTCTGTACCGTAAATTTTGCCCGCTTTGCGCGCCATATTACCTAACATCTCTACGGAGGCCTTGTGCGCTGAAAGTAGCGAGATTGCCCACTCCTTCAAACTTATCTCATCCTACGTGAAAAAAAAGTAGTATAGCGTTTATATTATGCCGCTGTTGGTTAGTTGGACGGATGCGAGAGGAGGGACGTGGATTGAGGAACTATAGTATAACTGTATTCAGAAATAAATTTTTTGTATCATAATGATAGCAGTTTATTATAAATAATCTTACGCGCTATTAGTAACTATTAATAGTGAATAAGCGTTCAATGTAAAAGGATAATCTATGCAACTCTTTAGATAGTTTGATAGGAAATTAAGTACGATTCGGAATTATCTAAATTGATACAACTACTATGGAATTGACTGTAATTTTTACTTGATGAATTAAAGCAAGGCAACTAAGAAAAGTTATTGATCAAAGAGTAATTATGTTTTTTATTTATGTAACGTGTAAATTATATGCTTTATAATTTGTGTAAAAATCCTATAAATAATTTTCATTAAAAAAGTTAAACCCAATATTTTATAAATTTTGTTATCCACGTTGTTCAATTACATTATTTTAAAAAATATGTGCGACCAATCACTACTGTTCTTATCGTGAATTTTAAGTATCGATATTTACTCTATTTTATTTTTTAAAATTAATAAAAATTTTAGTAGAATATTATTAAAAGCATATTAATTAAAACTAATGTTAAAAGAATAAATTTTAGCGCCTATAATTAGTAAACTAATTTTATTTAGTCTATATTATTCATAATTTAACAATTGTAAATAAAAGATTTTCTTTTAAAGAAAAATCTTTCTTAATAAATAATTTTTCTCATAGTTTCCTTAAAATAAGAATTTTATAACAGATAAGATAATGTAAGAATCCGAATACATTTTACTACTTTAGTATGTATATAATATTTTACTACTTTAAATTTTTGGGTTACAAAAATATTTTAATTGAAGATTAAATTATTAAGTAAACTTTATCGTTATATTATTGTTCGGTATTACATTAAATAAAATCTTGTCAATTCTATTAATAATCTAAGATATCATACGGATTATTAAACATATTTAAATAATGACTGAAATAAAAATTACGTTATACATTTTTTTCGTTGACAATTCATTATAAAATTGCTGTTATTACAATTACTCTGTATTATTGATAGCTTATTGAACAATTTTAAGGGTATCAAATTGAATTTTACAAAAAGGTTAATTGTATTTTAAAAATAAAAATTAAGAAAAATTTGAAATTATTTAATCATTAATAATCCCATCACTTATTTGTATGAATTTAATTTAATTCAGTTTTAATTATTATTTAATATGTCTAATAAAATTTATAGTAATAAATGCTCAAACTATCGTAGTTCCCAGGAAAAAGATAATTTTTATTCGTAATTATATTTGCTTTTTAAAGTATAAATTATTTTTAATTTATTATTTGAGTTTCTAATTAAATAATAATTTCAGTTAACATTTAATTTGTTATTTGTTATTAATCCATAGTTGAGCTAGATACGCCCTAAGTGTTGCATATTTCATTTTAAATTAATTAAAAGTAAAACAATATGTGAATATGATAAAAGGTGCATCAATAGCATGAGAAATTCATGTTAATATCTTCTAATGAAGATTGTTAATCTATTTAAATGCATAACATTGATGTAATAATGTACTTACAGGATTGGTCAATACAATCTTGGCATCTTTCGTTCGAACGATGATGCATTGCTCGCCTTTAACATGTTGTAAGTCGCTACTAACTTCCTCTACCTAAATAAAATATTTTACATTAGCATAAATTTGGCACAGATTAATTATTGGATATTGAAATAGTAATATTTTAACTTTTAGGTAACTATATATTATCAAAGGTATAAAATAAGTTCATAAGTTCCAAATTTCCTTTGAATTTTAAACTTCAAACCTCAATTGATTTACCTGATCTAAGAAAACTAGTTCAGTTTTGGTGGCTGATTCAGGATGAAGTTCTAAACGATTTGGATAAAGTTTAGCATATCGGGTTTGCCATGCACTTGCGAACGGTCCTCCAAGCTTCTTAATATATCCATGTAATATGCAGTCGGAGCCTAAATAAAGAGATATTGAATTTAAACAATTTGAAGGTCACATTGACATCATGCTAAAATCAATGTTGACATTTTACCTTTTTCATCTGCTTCGAATCTCACTTTTTTTGCTTTCCGTTTATTCTCCAACTAAATATTTAAATAAATTCACTAAATTAAATAAATAAAACGAACTGAGTTTTCTCAAATAAGATTATCCTTACTATTATAATAAAAATTTTGAGCAAACATTTTTCTGGACATATACATACTTATGAATGACGAAATGATTCATCATAACACAATTTAATCATTTTAATATATAAATTTCAAATATAATATACAATTGTTTCATTCAAAATTTTAATTCTTTAATAAAACTTGAAATAATGTAAGACGATTATAAATATTGTCTAGCAAAAAATTAATATACAATTTTATTTAACTATGGAAAGTGATAAAAAATAACAAACTATATTTTTATGTATCTTCCTACAGAATGTTAGTGAAGCTAATGAAATTAATGTTTTTTAATATGATTTTATGTTACCTTAATTATATTTCAATACTGTAAAAATACTTACTCTTGGATTAAATTTATTAAATTAAAAATAATTATATTATCTCTTTCATAGTTTTTAAAGTTATGAATTCTATTTACTGTTATTGAATAAATACAGTTACAATAGGCAAATAATATGTTTAAAGATTATTCGTTTAAGGTAACAATTTTGTAATACCCTCGACGTATTGAAATTTATATTGGTATGTACTTATATATATATATATATATATATATATATATATATATATATATATTATGAGCTGTGAATAAGAAAAGAATGCAATGATGCATAAGATAAGAAATGCTTTACCTTGTCAGCCTCATTATTGACGGTTTCGAACACGGTTTCGGATACTTCAGCTTGCCATCTCTCAGATACGACCAAAGAGAAGTTTTTATAGAGATCCTGATCGGCGTCAGTGAGCTTAATGCCTTTGGTGTCTTCTTCATCAAAAGAGCCGATATCAAAGGCATCGGCGGCATTGACCTCGCCTCGAGGTGGAATCAGGGGTGGTGTATATTTCTGTAGGTAAACCTGCTGCCAGTCGATGCCGCTGAAGAAGACGTGCTCTTTAAGTTCGTCGGCGCCGCCCCCCCGACACCCGAGCCTATTGTTAACATCGCGCTGAAATAAACCCTCCAGCAACGAACTCAACTCCCACGAGAACGTCTTCGGCATCTCTACATTCTGTTAAAATAAGTCTTTATAAATATTGTTATTTGTCACGTTGATACTAATTTCAGAAAAATTCGCCGGTTTCGACATTTTTATGTATAATCAATATGAAGTTTTCACAATGTGTAAATTTGTTCTGCTACCGCTTAAATAATATGAAAATGTTCAAGAAACGCCTAATTAACTATTTATTAATTCATTAAACTCCTAATTAACAACTATTAACCCCAAAAACACTCAAGCTAATTATATATTATATAATGATAACTGGAAGCAAAAATTAGAGTAAAAGTTTATATATTTTACTTCTTTGAATTTTACTTTGCAAATATAAAGTAGTATTCAATTTTAGTATCCTAGTTTTTTATTTAATTTGACGAATAAATTATATAAGTATTAAATCGTTCTTGCTTGTAATATTATTTAGATACTCGTTTTTATATCTACAGCTATAAAAAGTGTATGAAAAATATATAAAAATATTATATCAAATATTTTAAAACGAACAAAGAGACAATTAAGTTGGCCGGAATAATTTTAATGAAAGAATTATAGATATAATCTATATTATATATATATATATATATATATATATATATATATAGATATGGATCGACTAAATCAAATTTACATATTACAATTAAGAGTCTTAATTTTCATTTCTATTATACAGCCTTTATATTATATTTTTTAGATTACCAGGTAAATAATAAAATAACATCAATAATTATAATTTCTAATAAAAATGAAATAGCAATGTTATGTTAAATTTTCAAATGCACGTTTTTATATTTTTTATTCTAATATATTTTATATATATTTTATATATTTTTATTTCTTAAATATATTTTATTTATAATATTAATATTTATTTTCATAACCTCACATCCTTTTTCAATTTAAAATTAATCAAAATTAATTACATTTATAAAAAATATACTATATAATAAAAGAATGTGTTTAGATAAATGTGACCTGGTATAAAATTAAATGTCTGATGATGAATACATTAGTTCATATCTGCACCATTTAATTTATATTGGTCAATTTTTATTTTACTACACATTACAATTTATATGTCATTAAATGTTTAATTATAAAAAAGTATACAAATGATTTTTATTGCCGTAGTTGAATGGTCAAAAGAAAAGATCTTTCTATTATTAACATTAATAATACATATTTTATAAGTAATATATATCAAAAATAAGTTTATTTCATTCATAAAATCACACTAATAGAAAATCACAAATTATATTTTGGTCTATTCGTGAAAAGTAGAGAATATACATTATTAATTAAAATTTTTTACGAAATTTTATCATTCTTGCAGCTATCTAAATACTTTTTTGCAGAGACTTTTAGGGAGGCTTTAAATAATTTCAATAAATCTAAGTAATAAATCATTCGAACTCACATATTAAGTAAAACGAATGAAATTTATTATTTATTATGGTACACATAATGTTACGGGGAAAATATGTAATTAAAATCATGGAAATTTTTTAATTAATAATTATAAGTTTTTAAATAACATTTTTTTTGTGATAAATTTTATTTAATAATTATGTAATGAAATACAATGGATACGATTTATACTTATATAATATATATTCAGCTAATAATAATTATTTTTAAAAATGTATGAAAAAATTAATAATTAAATATTGAAATAATACTTTCTTTTCTTACATTACATGCAAAGCTTAAATATTTTATACTTGACACAAAACTACATTTATTGGTCGAAACACTGTTTCAAGGACAGTGATAATTTTTTCTGAAGTAATTATATATGTAAGCTTATTTTTTGCTAATATAAATCATTGTTTTTATTATATCATTAAATATGTTTCCATACTAATGAATATGAATTTTCAGATACTATCTATTAAATCAACAATTATTAGAGACCCGCGAAAATAGTTTTGTGTACTGACCTTGTATACCATTGGATATTTATTAAAAAAAAATGTAATGGGAATCCCGCCATTTAAATTCAGGTCACAATTCTATGTAGAAATGCATTGTAAAATTCAATAAATTAAATCAACTTGAAAGTCCTCGTGTTTCGTCAAATCGAGTAATAGATATGTGTATTGCATGCCGGTGTATGATCGATAGTTATATTCCAAGTGCCTTTATTAGAAATTACATGATTTTGTCAAATGTTTCGGATCAATATTTAACTTGCGATATCTAAATATAATTAAAGAATGAGAATTTAAAAGTTTATTCCATTACTTTCATTAGTGCCCAATACTCAATGTAAATATAATTAATACATAAAATTGTAACGAAACGATAATAATTATTTTAATAAATATACATTAGTTTTCATGATATTCTTAGTGATATTCGTCACATTAAACTCAATAATTTTGAATCAAAAAACAAATTTTTTAATGTCGAGAGAAATAAAAAAAATATTTAAATAGTTTCATAAACAATACTAGTTTATACGTATAATTATAAAAATATTTACATTCGTTTTAAATATACTTAAAATTAAAATATTTATTTACTTCTTGTATATCTTATATATTACTACTTTGTTATTAAAATCCATTAACTTCATTATTTAATTAAGATTATAACGATTATTTAAACACTAAAGTATCTGTAATAAAGAATCAAATAAATATTTATTAATCAATATTATATGCAGCAATTAAATGTGTTAATAATTGAAATCCTAAATTAAATATAAAAATCAATACTATTTAATACATTTATCAAAATAATTAAGTATTATCTAATATCATCAGAATTATCACATCAATAGAGTGTTAAAAGAACTTTGAAATATTTGATAAACGAATTTACAAATTCCACTATTATTAAATTTATTAGTTATATTTTTTGTTTAATAATTCAGAAGATTCCATAGCGATATCAATGTCAAAATTAAAAGGTGTTTCGGAGGGAACTTTTTTTAAATATTCTGAATTTGTAAAAATATTCGAAATTATTCCGATCATAAATTAATAAACTTTTTTTATACATTTTTTTAATATTTTGCATGCTTTATTCATTGGATAAATTTTAAATAATTAAAAATAAAATATCTTCTAGACTGCTTTAATTTATATTTTATAAAATTGAAAAATTAATTTTCAGAGTTTTTTATTTAATTTATAAGTAATAAATAAATCGTAATGTCATATTTATAATATTTATTCATTATGCTGTTAAATTTTTCCATTTTTACACTAATGATTCTTTAGATTTTATTTCATTGGAATGTAATAAATAATTTACTGGATAATACTCTGGGTAAAACATTCTTTTTACAAAATACTCATATTATTAAATGAACTAAATAATTAGTAGTGAAATCTTAAATTTAGAGTATTTCTAGCAACACGTACAGCTGGAACATTAAGACTTTAATTATTACTAGATTTAAATACCTTTAAATAACATCAAATATCAATAGGTGTCTGGTACGATTTTATTTTTATTTGAATCATTTTGTTGGTGCCTTTTGTATAGTTACACACGCCAGCTTATATATAGTTAAGATGAGCTTTTATTTTATTTTTAACTCCTGTCTAATATTAAACATCGATCGGTTCAATTTTCTGAATTTGAAATAAAGCCAATATCAAGATTTTCTTTGCGGAATTAACCTACCGCGATAAAACGATGTTTAAGCCGATCTATCGGTGACAATTAACTGTTTGATATACTAACCGTTGTAAGTGTCATATGGTCGATCTCATTTTTGTCCCTCGTTTTTAATTGTCGAAATGGACTATGACCCACGAGGAGCTTGAAAATCATACAGCCAAGCGAAAACCAATCAGCACTCGAATCGTACATTGTACCCTTGGACACGACTTCCGGTGCCATATAGCCGTGCGTACCGCTAAAAACAAATATGTAAATTTGCCGTTCATATCCAATAGATGTATAACAGGACGAAAATTGAAACATTTTTAAATGTGATGCCTAGTTATTATTTATTTTACAATTTTGTAATAGATTATTTAATGTCTAAATAATAATTTTATATTATTGTTTAATTGATATTAATAATTTATGTCGAATCTGAATGATTATCTAGTCAATGAGCTTAAACTTTTAAAAATATCTGCATACTGATTAAATAAGATTTTTCATTGCGTGAATTGATTTATAAATATTGACAAAAGGTGACGTAAAATTCGCAGAAAGACTTTTCAGATAGATAAACGGAATGAATTAAAAGTTCCATGAATTCCTTGGACTTTTAAAAAGAAACTGTGCACTGGCGATATTCGTCTTTAAAGTAAGTTCTTCAAAACTCTCAATGAGAATTGCAGCTAATTTGTAAGGAATATTGATATCTATAAATGATTAAAGAAAAGCTCTAGCTAGGTACTTACACGCTGGCATGGGGTTTCTTCATGGAGAAGTCGCAGGCAAGTCCGAGGTCCGATATCCTGACGTGTCCATGTTCATCTAATAGAATATTGGCGGGTTTCAGGTCCCTATAGACGATGTAACGTTGGTGCATATGCTCGAGCCCTAGAATTATCTCCGCTGCGTAAAACTTCGTTTCGGGCTCATTGAATACTCCATGTTGACTCAGATGGTAATGGAGGTCGCCGCCATTCATTAGATCAAGAATGAAGCAGAGTTTATCAGGCGTATGAAACGCATACGTCATGTTAACTATGAACGGACAGTCGACCTGTAATCCATCAACCAATAGTCATTAATTTCAGTATTGACTATTAATAGTTTTGGGACTATTGCGAATGGTTACTTTATTTATTACTTCAATAGAATATGTGCCAATAACAAATGGTACTTCTTAAAAATTACTACTAGTTAAAATAAATAAATAAATTCAATATTTGCTGGATATATTTATTGTGTTAATTATTTAAACAATAGTTATATAATGTAAAAGTAAACTCTTTTATATTATAAAATTATTAATTTTTTTGTAATGAAAATATATAAACTCGATGTCTTAATGTCTCTATCCCTATGAAGATTGAAAATATTAATATATTTTGTATGAATTATTAAAATAAATTACATCATTAATTATTAATACGTGTTTTATGGTTTAAATAATTCGAGGGTTGTACAAAAAAAACTCCATACTACTTTTAAAATATATTTTCCCTTTACATTTGAATAAAATAATTTATCCTATATTACATTTTATTCAATGATATTTTTACAGATTACAAATCAAGTTCATATTTTAGTATCACTATTATTAAGAAATTTTTCTAATTTAATGTAAATAAAATTCTTGGAATTCCTAATTCTTAGAAATAAAATTCTAGTGTGAGAGATACTTTATTATTGATTTTTTTTTCCTTTTTAAATATAATTTTACTATAATATTAGAAATAAATATGAAATACATATTAAAGAATAATATCCATCCATTTCCTGGAATACAATTTTTTTTTGCAATAAATGTGTAACAGTCGTGTTATAGATAATAATTCCTAGAAAATCAATTTGAATGAAATGTTTGTTTTTTTGAAGTATGTATTAACAGTTTAAACTAATCAGTATTTTCGAATACTATAGATGTCTGATTAATATAAATTTTCGTCTACTATGATGTACAAAATTAAAATTCGTAACAATAATTTTTAATTGTTATTAATAATAATATTGGATTAAATATGATTTTTTAATGTGTGTATCTTCTAAATAAAATCTTGCTGAAGATGTATACAAGGCAATTTTTCTGATAATATTTAATATTGAATACAAATGTGAACTACATTATAAAATATTGGTTTATATGGGCTTTACGATTTTAAACCAATTTAAAATATTGTTAAGCATAGCAATATTGCAAATTGAGAATTATTATCGCAAATTAAAATTCATTATCAATTAAAACATTTAGAATTTAAGATAATTTTTTAATGTCGAAAATATCATTTTTAATAATTGAAATGAAAGGATTATGCAAAAAGAGAAAAATAGTAAATGAAAGCAAAGGAGATCGAGTATTGAAAAGAAGAGTTGTTTTTCAATGATTTTTTTAAAATTATGCGCTGACCTAAACCTCTTCAAAATGTTGAAAGGTTTATCCTTTTGAAAAATCATTTTATTGAACAAATTGGAGTAATGAATAAATAGTTTATAGTAATTTGAAACGACAATATTGAAAAATGATTTGCAATCAAACATTAATAATAAGGATAATATTTTTTTTTTATTTTATTTTTGTTGTTGTTGACATGATAAAATTTTAAAAACAGAAAACAATATTTAAAAATATAAAAACTTATTTAAACTCGTATTTGATAAGATTTTACAATATTTATAAATAATTAAATGTGCTCTTTCGCTCTTGCCGTTTTGATATTTCATTTTTTATATATATAAAAACATACTGGATTAAAATTTGATCGATAAAAAGAAATAATCCAAAAGAATATAATCTTTATTACATTTATGATTTTTTATTTGAATTTTGGGATCTCTTATATTTTTTGTTCTTATAGTTGATGAAAATTTGAATTAAAATTGCATAGGTTGTTAATAGTCGAACTTCTAGTTATTAAATAAATTTAGTGTAATGTTATAAAAACTATGAGCGTAAAACATAAAATGTCGGCGATTTATCATTGATACCATAAAAGCACGTAAAAAGTATATTATACAACACCCTAAAATTTCGTGGTCTCTATATGCCAGGCTCTATGTATAAGAAAATATAATTGTTTACAATTTCGATTGATTTTAATGTCTGTAAAAGCAAAAAGGACACTTTTTATTAAAATCGTGAATATGATATAAAAATATCAATTGTTGTTGTAGATATTAAGGTCCTAACAGCTTTGCTTCGTATTCAATGATAGAAAGCCAGAATTGATCCTTCGGTTACAGCAAAATCCCATCAATTATATGTATGGAAAGCATGTTACTCACCCCTGTACTGACTAAGGAGAGTATTATCCTCTCATTGAGAGCCAAAGTTTCGCCCTGCTTCATCTTAATACGTTTCTTATCGAGGCACTTCATCGCGTACATCTTGCCGGTGTCTGCCTTCCGGCAGCCGTAGACCTCACCAAAGCCACCTCTACCAATTATTCGATGCACACTAAAGTCGTTCATTGTTAGCTGTAGCAGAGGAAAATGTCCAAATGAAGAATTAGTCAATGCACCACATTTTTACTTCACCTCAATACAAAATCAATTTCATAAATGAATCATCGCGTGTTTTTTTTAGGAAAAAGATACTGATTCACGTGATAAATTTACTTACTGAGTATGTTTAGCGGAATGCACTCGCGTTTAGTGCTTTATTTAAACTACATATGTTAAATAAGGATTAGTTGCAATTGGTACCTCTTTCGACATTTGAAACGCATCCTTAATATTCAAATTTAAATATATTCGTTGCCGAAATAATATTTGTTCAGTAGCTTCTGTCAATAATTAAATAGAATTATTTAAATTTTGTAATATTGCAGTTCGTAATATTGCTATATGATATTTGATAATATTTTAAAGGTACATATAAAGGTTTTCCTTAATCGTATATTTCGATAAATTTTCGAGTAATTCCGATAAACAATCAAATTATTTCTATAGCAAGTACTCGATGATTCTGATAGATATTAATTTATCAGTTGGTATCTCTTGGCATTTAAATCAACTGTTAATAATAGAATTCATAAAATATACAATTTTTACCATCAGTCAATAACAAATAATTCAAAATTTTTAAATATTAATCAAGTTAGTAATTAAAAGTTTTTCTCTAAAAAATTAATTAATAATAATTTTTTTTTTTTGTTATTTTAATAAAAAAAACTCATGTGAAATTAATTATATGTACTTATGTTTCAAAATATATGTATTATTTACTATATATATTTGATAAAAAATTAATAATTACATTTTTAATGGATGTTAATTACTGTTTTAATTATTATTCAATTTATATTTGTAGAAAGTTATCATGAAAAAAATAAAATAAAATTTTCAAAGTGATAGAATTAATTTTTCTTAAATTAATGCTACATTAATATTGTAAAAGTAATACATTTTTCTTTAATTCTAAAAATTGCTAGTGGTTTACGTAATTTATTTTATTTTTATAATTTATATATAGAGGATCAAATTTTTTTTTCTTTGTAGATTATATATAATAAAATATATGTGTGTTTGTAATAATATGTAATATAATATTTTTATTGTATTTTAAAATGGATTTACAAAATTACATTAATGTATTTGGTTGAACAATTCTTTTAAAAGGATTAATGTTAATTGATAAAATATTAGGGATACTCGAAATCTTGCTGTTAAAGTGTGATCTATATAATGTATTATTAATTTATTTACTTTTGACACTAAATTATGCGAGCTGTAATTAAGTAGTTTGAAAATCAATTTCAATATTTGAATTAATAAAACAAAAACTTCAAAGATATTGGGTCCATGAAAATTATCCAATATTTCATAGTAATAATTTCATTAAAAATTTTAACTTATTTAATTATCCATCATGTATTTTACACTAAACGGAAGTTATAAACATAAATAATTATTATGATGAAATATACAATTTGCATAATTTCTGCGTTAAACTTATGAACTAATATAATATAATATCATGAAATATGTATAATATTTATCTTAATTAAATTTAAGATTGAATTTACCTTAATTATGAAGCAGACGTTATTTATAAATATATTGATTCTATAACTTTGCTTTAAAAATATATTCTGTTGATAAGGCTTTTCATATTTAGTAAATATCTATTGGATTTCAAAATTATCATAATAGAAATCTATTTTTCGAATAAATATATTAACAATTCTTAATATATAAAAGAAACCTAATGTATTTTTTAGTTTATTTATTTAGAATCTTTTATAAAAAATCATAGTAAATAAGTAACTAAAAATGGTAGGACTTAAATACATAAGTTAAATTTAAAATAATAAGTATGAAAACAAAAAATACGTCAGATAATAATTTATTAACGTACGCTTTCGTTGATAATTTCAATTTCCTTTAAAATTTAGAATGAATTAAAAATAATATTATGTTTTTCCTTACTTGGATATTGAGCTCGAGATTCTTCCATTGACAAAAACGAGTGTATTTCTCACTGAAACAAAGTTTTATTTTCTTAACGGAGTTCTGCACGAGGATTAAAGTCTTATTAATTTCTCAAATTTTTTACGGGTACAAATACAATATTTTGATTATTACATTAAAAAAAGTTAATTTTAACTTTTTAATAGACATGTATACAGAATAAAGTACTATACAATATAAAAATTAATAATTTGCATTACGCTAAATTATATTTTCATATTAGAATATTTATCAATGAGTTTATCTGAATAAAACTTGAACATTTGAAATTATTTAAGTTTAAATAAAACCTTGAAAAGAAAATTTCTAATAAAACTGTTATTTCAATTTTAAAAATGACTAGATTTAACAAATCAACCCATTATTGTTTATAATGTATACCTGCCGAATGATTTATTTTTAATTCAGTCGATTTATTAAAAATTAACTTTTTGTTTAAGGTAAAGATTATATTATAAACCATATTTGTAATATTAATCATAAATTGCATTATTTTAATATTATTATTTTAAGTATCAAATAAGATTTCCATCTTATTTATTTATCATAATTGTAATCTAAACAGTTTTAGTATCTTATTTACATATCATACATATTAAGGAAATAAATTTTAAGGCAAATTGGTAAAGCATTTTTACAATCTGTTTTAATTAAATTCATGTTACCATTAAAATCTAGTTAAGTTCATAATGTTTTAACTAGTCTTATTATTAAATATTTATAAATGTAACAAAATTTGTTAATGTGGACGCTTAATTTATTATATATAATTTTTTTATTTCATATTTGACGGTTTAAATTTAAATTTCGCTCAGATCAAATATTGTTACCAGCATACAAAATATGGGATTCACAATTTAATATATAATTATTATTTCTAGGCCAGATTTCTGTTTTATTCTGGTTGATCGGACTTTAAAAATATATTTTCGGAAATTTATCAAAAATTTTTTAACTTGAATACAAATATCTCTATAATTCAGAAATAAAAATAATTTTTTAATTTTTCAATATTTTCAAATTTCGTTCCATAAAATGTTATGACGTAATTTTTAAAATATTCTTATACATATATTTATGTAGAATTTATGATATATTAAATTTAAAAATAATTTTTTAAATGAATACAGGATCTTTAAACGTACAATAAATTGAATGAATATTAGGTTTAATTACCAGTGGAAGATTTATGGAAGTTTTCATCTTCAATATTATTTTAGCAGTGTTTCAAATAATTATGCAGACAAATGTATAGTAATTTCTATTTTTATATATTTAAAATTATATTTAATTATTTAATATATAAAATTATTTTTATTATATTAAGTTCAATAATTATATCTTTATTTATAATATTTTTTATATTTTATATTTTAATTTATAATATTCATTTAAAATTTCAGTTTAAAATATAATTCAGTCTATTTTGTAAAATAAAATTTTCGTAAAAAAGTTTAATTTTCATTTTTTAGGTATAGAAATATAGAATATAAAAAACATTTTTTTTTATTTACAAAATACTAAGCAAGCAGCATATATATGAAAATCACTTGAAAAAGTTGAAGGTTACTTACCTCTCAAGGAACCTTGTGAATGGTTCTCCTCGTAAATGATTAAAAATTTCCTCAATATATGGCTGAAAATGATAATATTTTTGCAATTGTACCTTCATATTTTGTTGACTAAGTTATTATATAATTACTTATATTTTTATTATAAAAAAGTTAAATTTATGGTAATAAATGTTATCGATAATGGAAATAAATATTTATGAAAAGATATATAAATATTTATGAAATTTATGAAAAGATGACTATAATATAAAGATGTACAGACATAAAGATTCAAATAAGAAAAAACACAGGTATAAGAACATTGTGATTATATTGGAAAATAAAAAAAAAATATAATAAGAAATAAACAGGTCAGAAATACATAGGTGATAGGAATAATAGACTATAAAAAAATGTTACTTGAACAATTGAAAAGGTAGAACATTTTTTTATCCCAACTAAAATATAAGTAAAGTTGATTAATAAAATTGATGTGTTTGTCATGCAGATTATATTAAATTAATAATTTAGGTTATTTATTAGGGTGCCCAATAAAAACTATGCCATAAAATCTGGCATCCGTGAAAGAAGAAGAAAATGTGAGAGAAAAAGTGAATAATAAAAAATCCAATTTATTACTAAAAATATTTTCTTCGTAATTTAAAATGTACACGAAATAACTTTAAAAAATAAAGTAATACTAACAATTGATATGTAAAAATAAAATGGAAAGCATAGTAAAACATAATACTATTAAAACATTATTAACACAAAAAAAAACAATGAATAAGTTCAAAATAAAAATCTAATGAAAACATGTATTGCAATTCATATTAGTAAGCCTTTAATAAAAGTAAATTAAGTAATAAACTAAATGCATGAATGATGATATAAGGATATAAACAAAAGAATCGCATAAGAAAAAAATTTAAAATGCTCACTATCTTGTTGAAGGTATAAAATTATAAATTTGACAGAGAGATTGTATATTTTAACAATATTGTTAATGAAGCTTTTGGTGATTTAGTGGACAAGGTAATATGTGTACAGCATTAATCTCGGAAGTTGGATAGCGAGTGTCGATGAGGACAAGATTAAACATAAACATAAATAATTTTATAGGAGAGTCAAAACTTAGAGCACAATAAAGAAACCACGAAATGTTAATCTATACACGAGTAGGATTAGAGATAATTAATTTAGAATAAGCAAAAGTAAAAGTTATAATAATAATAATAAAATTTTATGCCTGTAATTTTATTCTAATATGAAAAGTATACAAATTAGGATTAAAGTAATGAACAAAAATTCGAAATTCAAAGAAATCGAAACATAGATTACATGCTGTTTTGCAATTGTGATTAAAAAGATACAAAATACAATAAAATGAATAGTAGAAATAGAATTGGGATCGGAGAATACAAATGCAAATTGAATATTTGAATGGAAGGTCCAAGAACAATATTTAATAAGAAAGAAAAGTGAAAAAATTGATATGCATAGATAATGAATCGACGTGAGCATAAGAGTAAAAACTTGATAAAAAAGAAACGGAAATAGTGATGAGTTCAACTTTCAAAGCAAACAATAATAGCAGACGATGATTGTTAAATAGCAGCAAACAAGGGTTGTAGATGCATTGGCAAACAATAGCTGTCACTTTTGAGAATATCGTACCGCTTCGCTATCATAAAATGTGGTAAATCATTTTTGTAGATCGGAAAAGTTACCGACTAACGTCAAACAAGAAATAATAGTTTTCCATATTTAACCTGGAATATTTCAGCCTAAAGTATCGTTTTAAAACTTTACTCAATATTGCTTATAATTAAGTTTATAAGGATAATAGGGGCAAATATAACTTTTGTTTGTATTTATAATTATTAAATAAATTATATAGAAATAATTAATATACGAATAATATAAAAGCACATACTTAAATAAGTTTTTCGAGTTGCTTTTTAGTATTAATCGAAATTTGAAAATACAAAGCGAGAAAGTAATATTAACGCATTAAATGAATAAATTTACATTAATAAAAATATCGATAATAGAAAATTAATTAATGATCCAAAGCAACGAAATAGTTTGTATTAGCATATTTTATAGTTGAAAAGCTTTAAATATGAAAGGTTGAAAGAAAACGATGAATAGTTTGTCTATGAAATCAAAATACTTGAACGAAAGGAATCGAAAGGGTTTTAAAGCTCCACTTAGTAACTAAGATTCTGAGTGTAGTGGAAATGTAATAATTCAAATATATTTTCAGATTATTTTAACTTCCAAATTAAACAACGAAATTCATATATTTTTAATAATTTTTTAATAAAAAAAATAATAATAGAACAGAATCGAAAAAATTAACTGAATAAAGTTTGTTAAGTGTAATAATTAAAAAATTAACGAAGGATATTAGTTTAACAAATTATAATTTATTATTTACTTTCTATTCTATAATTTTAAATACATCACATTAAAAATAACCTAGAACATTTCCGCAATATTTATCAATTTTAAAAAGTATTTTAAAATATTTAATAAACATGTTACTATGACAAGTTAGTAAGCAAGAGCTATGAAAAATATTCAATAGGAGAATAAAATATGAAAGTTTTATAGATGAACAAAAAATATGATCGATTTAAAGATAATAGCAAGGACTTTTATATGAATGCCTATTACATTCAAGTTTGTTTGCTTCAAAGTAAATAACTGACATAATAAGAAGAGAATAATAAAGAGAATTTTAGATAAGGTAGAAAATATTCCTTATAATACTCAGGCAGTATTATTATCTCTTTGAATGATAAGTAGGTATTATAAAGAAATAAACTAAACAAGAAGAAAGCATTGAAATATTGTTGAAGTTCTTATTCAGAACTTTTTTATTTAGAAATATGAGAAAAAAATGTGTGTAAAAGAAAAAACAAGTTAAATAAATAAAAAACATTTTTAAAAATCTAGTTGATATTTCAAAATCAAACAAATTATTTCTTTAGAAAATAAATCATCTTATGTTTTTTTAAAAGTATTTATATTATATAATATTTTTCCATAAATACATAATATTGATAGAGTTTTGACTAATTTCATAAGAAAAACGGTGCTTGATACAAATTTTTTAAATATTATTACTTCATGTAGTGTATTTAATTAATTTTATTTTTCTAAGTATTTCGAATAAGCGATATCTTTCGTCAAACTGTTTTTACATTATATTTAATGAAATAAATGCAAAACGTGATATATTTTAGTTCACTTTTATCATATTTTACTTCACAAAAAACTTCAATATTTCATTAAATTAGGTATTAAAAAATAAAATCTTATAAATTATAATTGAACTACATCGTGAACTACATATATAGTTTATGATAAATAAAAAATGTGGCATTTACGGAAATTCTATTTATTAAATAAAGTACAATAAAAAAATTAGCAAAAATAATAACTAACATTACAAAATGGCTATTTAATACCTACCTCAAATAGGTTAACAGGAACCTCATTTTTTATCAGATACTCTTGCACGTGAGACACAGCGTCAGTTGAATATTCCTAGAAAAGATGTGCATAAAATTAATAAAAAAAAAAAATCAAAATAGTAAAAGATAGGGTTCAAAGAAGTTTTAACGACATATAAATGTATATTAAATAAGAAAATGTAATAATATGAAATATTAGAGATATAAGGAGAAAGTGTCATTTAGCAAACTAAATAATAATGTGGCTACTAACATAAGGTAAAATGAAGGTATGTTTAGCTGATATAATGAATTAGATGATTCAGTCAAGATAAGAAAGATGTAATGAGAGTTGGTGAATGAAGAATAGCAAGGAAGAATATAAAAGCCAAATGAAACAAAGAAAGCATAAAACAAAAAGTAGGGTGACTCACATGCGTGTGAGCCAGCAGTTCCTTCATTATGTAATTGTCGTAGATCTCTCGAGAAAGCTTCCTTCTCTCCTCCGGACATTCGAGCTTCTCATACGTTTTTATCTGCAATGATTTACGGTGTTTGATCACTGCGAAAGACGAGGGATCGCTCGGACCATCGCGCACAAAACATATGATAAGTGGGTCACGTAATTTACTGTTATTCCTCTGTTTACAATTTTTCGACTTTGGTAGCGGAGCGTGTGAGATAAGAGGACAAAATCAATACTACGTAGTGACGCGGCTCAATTCGCGATTGATGGAATAATACTTGGTGAATTCGATTTCGATACGGAAATTGACGTCACGTTTGTCAATCCTAGATAAATATGTTTTTTTCTCAGCTGGAAATAATATGAACCGACAGCAGAATGAGAAAAATGTATGATTCTATGTTATTGGCGTTTCTACTATTTAATCGTCTCAATTAATTAACGAAGATACGAATAATAAATTGCATCCGTTGTTTGCTCCGGTAAATATATAACGAAATTTTGGATTTGAAGGTAGGCAACAACTACTTGAGCAAAAACATTTACCTTTTTCATAATATAACGAATTCAATAGAATTTAAAGAATGTACAAAGTAATTAAGAAATAAATTAGGGGGACGATTAATAATATTCAAAAACATCAAAGAATTTAGTGAGTTGAGAACGACATTATAAATCGGCGAATAGTTCATAATAAATAATAAATAAAAGCTTTATCACAATCAACGCTCTCGTAAATAACGTGTCACCGGGAAATTAAGGGCCTCGAGAAACGTACCTGCTCGTAAAATCTAAGTTGCGAGATTGGGTCTTCCGACGTGTTCTCACAGAAGTCTTTGAATAGAAGGTAACCTGTAAGAAAAAAGGCCAGAGTTAATGGATCGATATACCGACCGCCGTTTTTGAGAAATACTTGAAGCTAAGATAGGATAGAAGACAGCGAATTAAGCATCCGTAGTAAGGATCTGTAATTTAACAGAAATATTTTCTTTTCAATTTTTGTTGATTTTCGAAACAATTTTTCAGAGGAAAAGCCTTTTTTATTAAAATGTCGTTTTCATGTTCCAACATGAAAATAATCTAGATGCGCAATGTTTTTAAAATTTACTAAAATTATACATATGGATACTGCTGAATATGTACTAATGGAAATAAATGCATTATATAATTGTGAATGTGTTAATTGATCATGTAACAAAATAATATATTCATATTTAGTACATATTTAATTTCACTTTAATTTGAATTGAACAACATACCATTTATTGATTATCCGAATGAACCTATTACATTTAAAAGTTTTATTAAATGAATGACAATCTTCTATAAAATTAGAAAATAATATATGTATCCCTACTGTTTATATAAAGTTCAATGTAATAATGCAATAATATAATTGAATAATATAATATATTGTAAACTGAGTAGTGTAACACAAATGTATATCGTTTTTAATGCATTGATAATTAGATGATAATTTATTATTAATTTAGTCATTAATATATTCCGTTATAGTCCATATCGTTTATAAATTATTATATTTAAAAAAAAAAAAACTCTTAGATATTTTAGAATTGCAGTAAATTTTATTATACATATTTGTGATTAATTTACGAATTTGAAATTAGATATAATGAAATATTAATATCTATATTAATCATGTAACTAAATGTAATGAAACAATTGATTTTATTAATATGATTTCCATAATTACTATTAAATTTATTTATTGATATTTTACCAAGGCAAATCTGATTTTACCAATGTTTTTAACATAATTCTATAATGATAGAATAAATTCGTACTATTTTTTTTTTTTTTTTAACAATTATAGAAGAAAATAAAAAATAAAATATAAATGTCAATTTATAATATATATTTAAAATACAGAATGTGAAAAAACTGAATATATGGACTCTAAATGAGAGATAGAATTGAAAAGATTAATATAAACGGAAATTATTTTTTATGAGTTAAAGAAATAAATAGTTTGTTAGCACCCAATCATCAATGAATTCGGAAATAATAAAAGATTAGTTTCAATAAAAATAACAAGAATACTTATATAATATATATCTGAACTGTTTTTAAGTAGAGGTATTATTTCTTATAGGCTTTGGTGATATTAATGAAAACAAAAATATTTATGCCTATGGTTAATGTTTTCACTATTACGGTAATCCGAATAGAAGTGATAGTCAATACTATTACAGAACTAAATTTATTATGAATGCCAATTATTAGTAGGAGTAATTTCTATAAGATAAATATCAAATAAATTTACTGAATTTGGAATTAGGAAGTATTAAAGAGAATAATATTGAGTTAATTCTACACTTTTATGAATTGAAATAAATTATCGCTATAAAACCAATATAAAATGAAAGAAAAGTAAAGTTAGATGGATTATAGTTGAAATTTTTCAACTTACCCAGCATTTGATTAAATATTTTGTCGAAGTTCACCTCGTTGTTCTTCTCAAGGTACTTGTGCATAACGCTTCGAACACTAGAAGTACAAAACAGAATAGAACTGGTTATAAATCTTCAAATAAAGGTGAAAATGTTTGAGTGGGAAGGTGTAACTGCCTACCGTTATTAGAAACCCTAATATTATTTTATTCTTCATAAAATCTGAGCAAACGAATAGATATCGAGGCGGCCATTCATTAAATTGGCTTATTATGAAAGCGGTACAGATTTTTCCTACGATTTTTTTTTGTACACGTAATCGCTTATGGCTCATATTTTATGTGTAATATCATTACCGTTTTAGTTAATTTAGAATGCTTTTAAAAATAATAGCTTCTATTGCTGAATACAAATAATTTTTTATTCATAATTAATAATTTGAAAATTTGTATTTTGAGTACCCAAAATAGTCTATAAATGATAGACAAGCTATCATTCTCTAGTTTACTAAAAATATTATCATACGTTCGGAAATCAAATTGCTGCAGTTATTTTCAACATTTGTACAGAATGCAGATTCCAAGAATGAACCAGTATTTTCGTAATATAAGCTTTAAGCTGTAATCATTATCACATTATAATATTCTAATAAAACATACAATTTGGTAAATTGTAATCCAAATACAATAATAATACATAATAATACATTACATTATTCAATATATAATCAGTTTATGTTGTGAAATAGTCAGATACTTTGATACATATAAACTATTACCAAAAATAGTTAATTTTTTTATTACAAAAAATAATGTATATCCGACGCATGTTTTCAAAATAATTTAAAAATAAATATCTTCTAATACACATACTCTTATAATTACTTTTAATAAAAATGCATATGCCAAAAAAAAAAAGTGTGAAAATTGTACAATTTATTAAAAGCGAATCAATTTTATATTCGATGATTAAAAATTCCTATTTATCTAATAAATATTTTGCATTAAAATCCCATACAAGCGATTTTGCTAATATAGAAAATGTATTTTCACTAAAAAGTGTACAGCCGATTGTAAATAAAATGCAGATATTTTCAATTTAAAATATTTTTAAATATATTATTAGTGTACAGATGTGGCTTGCAGTGTACGGTACATGAATAAATATTATATCTATATTATGTATATATAAAATAATATATTTTTATAAATAATCTTCCTCTTTTTAGTTTTATTGAAATTTTTTATAAATCAAGTAAGAAATTATAGAATATAGGTAATACAAATTTGAATAATTAAATTAAAATTAATTTCAACGGATAAAATATGATTTACTATAACAAAAGTACTTTCTATCCATTGAGAAACTTTTGATCTGTTGTTATGCAAAACTACGAAAAGAAGTTTTGTATTTATTTTGTATTCATAGAGTTTTCTAGGTCTGAAGTGGATAGCTTTTACAATAACTTAGATAATTCATAAAATATACGAGACATTTACTAATTTTACCAAAAGCAAAAATTAGATAGATAGCAAATAGATTTTTACAGTTTGATCAATTTAATAAAATTAATTGTTATCAAAATTTGATGAAGCACAAGTGCATCTATCGGAGTATACTTTTAAAAAATTAACTTCATTATATAAAATATGTTATATTCAATTTTCCAATTTTAAATCAAATCTTTCTAAAACATTTTGTATACAAATGCAAATATACATTTTTAATAAATGCAATAAACTATGTGTACATAAAAATACTTTTTAATTATTGTAGTAACACTATGCTACAACAATCAAATTTTTTTAATCTGTTTTTTAAAGTTTTATATTTATTGATGATGTTTTTATTTTCCGTTTAAACGTATATAAATTCTACTAAAATTTTAAAACATGAACTAATTAAAAAATAATAAGAAAATGATGTATTATCTATAACTTGTAAATTGTAAAATGGAAAAACAATAGGTGTAGTAAAATTTGTCAAAATAATAAATTCAAATGCACTACTATTGATTGATAGTTCATTAGTATCTCTATTACATAAAAATTCATGAATTTACTTTTTTCTAAAGAAGCTATCCTAAAGTAGAATAAACGAGCAAGAAAAAGGAGGGGAATAATAAGAAATAAAATTTATTGTTTAAGGTATGTACATTGGAAGCTAAGTAAAGATGAATAAATAGACGTCTATTACTTTCACGTTACACATAAAAAATAGAGCAATATAACCATTTATACATACTATAAATATATTAGGAAAATTTAGTAATAATATTGACTTGATAAATTAGTTTAATAAATGAATATATTATTTATTGCCACAAGTCAAAAATTAAAAAAATTGGTTTTATACAATATTAATCATTATTATTATTATATTATTTTTTAACTGTAAATATAATTATCGTTATACTTTTATAATAAGTTATATATACGATGAAGTAAATTATTATTTATTTTTATTAAAATAAATGTTTTTAATTTGAATCATTTTTCATAAATAATACTAATACTCACATTACTAATTTACAAAAAAGTTTTTATAACATTTTCAATATTTCAAAATATAAAATTAGAAAAAAGTAACAGGCAGATATTATAAATATAACCTTTCTAATCTATATTCTTTAAATTTATAATTATATAAGTTAATTTATATGTTAAATTGTAAAATATATATATAGGAACATTATTATTTTATAAATAAAATATAATCCAGCTACTTGGAAAAATATATATTGATTCTTCAACATTTTATTTTATGAGCCTTTTATTGAAATTTATATTTATGTGATATTTGAAAAAGTATGATAATTAAAAGAACGAAAAAATCTTCAAATTGAAATAATTTCAGGAGCATAGTCCTATTAAGAATATTTCTAGATACAATATACATTTTTAGATGAAATATAATAAAATTAAAATTAATAGTAATTTTATATAATCCTCGTTTAAATCAATCTAATTTAAAATTAAATCGTTATTTATTTATTTCAAATAGGAATTTAAATCAATTTAAGAAAATATTAGTTTCGAAAATAAGTGTTCACCTGTAATCGTATACCTATAATGAGTATTAAATGAATTCAATTAATAATTCGATAATTCTATCATGATCCGTGAAATTTTTGGTTTCAATTATTTTCTGTACAAAAATTAATTTATATTTGTTTATCAATTTAGAATAAAATATCTTATTCTTTTCGTTTTGAATCGCTTAAAATGTAAAAATATGTTATTATACTAACGATTATAAATACAGAGTTGAATGACACTGTAAGAAAGTCTCGATTTATTATTACGAAATATATGTTTTGTAAAATTAGGTTTTACAGTACTTGATTTTAATACATATATATATCTAAAGAGATTTTATTTCGAGTCATTATTCTATTCATTAAAACTTTTTAAAAGACATTAACATTAAAAACTTTAGACATTAGATTTTTATACAGCCGTGGTAAAATAATACTTTAAATTAAATATATATTATAAATTTTATTACAAAATAATAAATCTTTTAAAACAAAATTTGTTATTTTCTTTTATTAATGTTTCATGTATTTTTTAAATTATTTTTTAAAAGAATATAATTAATATTATTTAGCTAATAATGATATAATGTTTTAACACATTGAATTGATCGTAATAAGTATTTAAAATAAAAATAAATATACTTTTTAAAATTTAATATTTAAAATTTATGTAATAACTTAAAACGAATATAATTAATTGTCTATATTTTTTTAATTATAAAAGTATTATTACTATCAATTTGTATTACAATGATTAATATTAGTTTAGTTATAAGAAATCTTAGTTGTAATCGCCTTTTCACAATACCGTTATTATAAAAATAGCGTGTTTACAATATTACATCTTTGTTCAGAAGTATAATGATTTGTATTCATGGCTATTATAAAAGTATCTGCACATTATATAATTTTATTTGAAGGGCTCAATAACACTAACGTAAGCCTTTAAATGTCCTTAATTATTTCTGTATTGAAATAATATGATGAATCTAATAATGAAGCATCTGTAATAAAAAATAGTTGATAATTAAAGATAAAAATATTTTAATAACATTACGGGGGATCTCACTGTGAACAAAAAAAAAGAAGAAGAATACTTTCATCTATTTATAATTTAATTAATAAATCTGTAGTTTTTAAAAATGATTTTACACGTTTTTTATCACGAAAATTCAAAATTTTTTTTACATAAGTCTTCATAAAGTTAATTATTCTCTATAATTACGTTACATCTATAATACACACGTGTGCAACGTTAGATTTGCATTCGATGCAAATCGAAGTGCAACGTTGCATTCGATATTACAATTTACAAATTATAACAATATTTTCTCTTTGAAACGTATGTTATGTACGCATAACTGTTCTATTCAATTTACATAAACGTTTACCGTCCTAAATTTTTCATTAATTTCATTTTAAGTCACTCGCGTATTGTTTGTTCTTTTCCATTCCCATTTATCCTTCCGCAGAGATATATGCGCCCCGCTACTTTTGGACTATCTGTCTGTCTCTTTGTCGTTTCATAATATACGATATTGGGCTGAAAGTACGAGGGTTTTTTCGTATCCATCTGCTGAGCAAATATTGGACCCGTCTTTACAAGGATGAGTCCAAAGGATAACATAGCATCTCTTGATCTTTCGAACTCACGTAGTACGTTAATAAAAGAAATTTAAAAATTAGATGTTCTAAGCAAGCAATGTAATGCGATTGTGATAAATAGTTTTTTTTTTTTTTTTTTTTTTTACAAAACTGTTGAAATCGGTGAGGCCTTTAATGTGTCTCATTGTAAAGTGATTTGATTGAATTTTATATGTTCAGATTCGTTTATTCGGTAAAACAACAAAATTTTTATCAATTTATGTAGATGAATTATAAAACCTAATCTGAAAAATCTATTAACCAAGTATTTTGTCTTATTGTAATTACACGACAGAATCTAAAAATAAGATTTTTATTGAATATGTATGTTGAATAAAATTGTTTATTCATAAACAGAATAATTCATCTTATCTCTTTAGTATTCCAACATAAATACACAAATGCATTTAAAATGA